TTTTTCCGTTAAAATCGCATACAAAATCACAAATGATGTATAAAGTATATAAAGAACACGATAAAATGATCAAACAAGGAGTTACCCAGTTGTGTAGAATTTAGCTTAACTTTTTCTTTTTTCCCAGTCAATATGTAGTTCTTCGTTCCATCGCTTCAAAAACTCCGGTTCGCAAACACTTTTCTAAAAGGATTGTGGGTAGTAGGGTCAAGAGATCATTCAAATGCATGAGAGAATTCTGGGTATTTTGAATCCTTTGTTTAATGGTACTTGTGATTTTGGAGAAGTTTCGCAGCGATTGACTGGTTGCTTCTACTATTAATAAGAAATCAAAGGACTGATCCCGATTAAAAAGAGAGCATTTCAATTTCAACGCGCATTGGCTATGCGCATCAAAGCTAGGGAGGCATGCGCACCTTCAACCTCGTTCCCAGACCTTATTCCTTCGCTTGGCGAAGGGTTAAGGTCCAGTCGCACTTTGTACAAGGAGACAGGAAACAATTTCGATGAATAAGTTGCAGTTTATAGATTTTTAGAAAGGGAGCTTCTAATTGAACTCGATAAAGCCTTTTCATGGGTCGATAAGGCCGTCCAGATAGCACAACGAATTGAGCTGTTTTAACAGTTCAATTCAGATTGAAACTTAATAACCGCGTCTTTATTTCAGTACCGATTTTACGGCCCTTACTTATGTGCAAGTAAGGTACGCTTTCTTTCATTCAACATACACTTATCTAGGAAGCATTTCTTCATCTTCAATCGTTTTTATTATTATTATTATTATTATTGTTATTATTCAATAAAGTTGCTATATTCTACATGTTTTTTTACCACACTTGCGTAAATTCTCGCTCGATGATTGGCTGATTAGAATGTGTCAATAAGAGGACATGCGCACCGTCCTGAAACCATCACGTCACTCTAGCGCGAACAGTTGAAAGAAAAAAAATGATTTTCTCTAATTTTTATTGTTAAAATGCGAAAAAAGAAACAAATTACACATGTCATTTTTCGTTGTACGTCTTCTTATTGATAAACTCTTGCTGCGCTCGTGTGTCCACTTGAGTTTTGAGCATTTTATGACGTCAAGAATTTATTATTAAGAGGACCTGCAACTCAAACAATGCGCAATTTGTTAAATTTCAAGTGTGAAAATAACACGTTACCATGGATACATTGTGTGAATTGTCTTATTTTTTGGCCTGTGGATATATAAATTGGAGTTTATGTATTACATGGTCCCTTGTTGATACGAGTTTTATCTTTGAGTGCTCAATTATAAAATCTCACTCGCTTGTTCACTCGTTGCCGTTGCTTAATGCAAAGCTTAATGTTGTTTCTCGTTCTTGGTCATGCGCAGTCATGCTTACACCTGCCATGACAAACAAATTTCCCCTGGAAATATGGAGTAAATTCAAAATACATGAATGTAAATAAATCTCTTTATTTCGATGCAAAATTACAAACGAAAATGGATAAAATCAATATATGAACAAATGTATTTGGTCAGTCTTTTTTTGTTATTCAATTTATTAGTCAATTCTTTGTTTCTTTGTTTCTTTGTTTCTTTGTTTATAGCTTATATTGAAGGCCGATATTAATTATAACTTTTCCTGCGCAGTAGATACTTAAGCCAAGGTTATTTATATCATTTACCTTAGATGGTCATTTAACATCTCAAGTACGTAACTTGAAACTGACGCACCTAATTTCATTTTCGACTCTCCAGCTTTTCATGGAAAAACCGACAAATAATTTTTAATATAGATACATAAAATTGCGAACTTATGCTTTATATTTGTCCGTATGAAACGTTATTGGATGCATCTTTATTCCATCGTC